CATTTCTTGCATGTTTTTCATTATCTGGATCCGGCAGTTCCTTCCCTGGACTTTGGCTGCCCAGGTCGGTTGTTTTGCCATTCCTCCTATTTCCTTCCTTTCCTTTTCCTACCTGTATTCCCTTTTGTTTCTGGATCATCTCTTCTGTCCAGTTCCTTCTCTGCCCTGGATGTTTTTTCCCAGATGTCGGTAGGAGAAGCACCAGCCTACACAGGAGCCTAATTACAGGACAGGTTCAGATTTGATGCTCAGCTGGCTATCCAGTTGTGTTGAGCACTACTGGTTCAGTACATTGTTCATGGAAGAGGATCCATTGTCTCCTCGTAATTCTGAATGTAGAGTGGTCCCATCCTAAGTCCTTGGTTGAGCACAGTTTGTTACACATCCTCCTCATACTTCCGGGGGCAAGTGGAATTTACCTTGCCCACATGTTTGGGGAGTGAGGACGGGTATTCATAATTCCAGATCAGACGAGTTCTGTTTCCATAGGTTCACTAAGGCATACAAGATTCCATCATTCTGAACCTTCTAGTTGAGAAGAAGGTTTCTCCACTTCAGTGTTGCTTACCTTTTCATCATGATTCTGATGGTTTGGAATGTATTACTTTATGGTTGCAGGTTGAGATCCACTCATAAGTATATACATAAAGCTCAGAAATTATCATTTATTATTATTGTTAATAGGTAATTCAGATCAGCACTATGAAACAATAAAGAATTTATAATCATTTAATGCATCTACTTTTGCTCACGGTAAGTCATTCATAGTTATATAAAGATAAAGTTTATGGTAATAGCAACCAAAAATCATTGGGGATATCCCATTTGTCAAGCAAAGTCCAAAATGCCGAGGTTAAACTTCATGTAAAATTCCATCCACAGTACAGAAATTTAAGTTCCAGGTGAAGAGCATTCCTGTTGTGAATGTAGTTCAGTTCCCCCACTAGGGTGCCAATCTTCTATTGATACATCTATGATCTATGCAGACGCTTTCCATCGATAATGTCATCACCAGCCCTTCCACTTTATTAATGTTGGATTCTAGCTGTAGTGTGAGTGGAGGCAAGCATGTTTTGGAAGTTAACATTTTCTTAAACAAAAATGTATTTCCAATAATACTTGCCTCTACTGACACTCTTCCTACCCACTAAGAGCCAGTGTTAGAGTCAGTCTCAAAAAAAAGTGGTAAAATTATCTGAATGAGGTGCTTATATGCAATACCAGGATAGAGGGCACATTGATGTAGGTGGAGAATATCATGAGACAGATATTGCCCAGGGCAGTTAAATGGGGCATAAAAAACTGCAGCAAGTGAGAAAAAATCAGACCATTGCTTGGATGAACAAAGGAAGAAACTCTGACAGTCGAGTAATAGATGTATTGTGAGAGGAGGTAAGTATTATTGGAAATAACTTGATGTGATCAAAATGTTAGAAAACAGTGAATGCAATGCAACTCATTATAATCTATTTCTGAAATTGAGGTTGGTCAAGCAGTTACTAGACATTTAACAAACAATACTTGGTACAATAAGCAAACAAAATAGTTAAAATGCAATTGTAAATGTATTCTCTGTACTATAAAAGGATGTACTAAGTTATTTCCTAAATTCATTTTCTGTGAATTTGATATCCTTACTTCATTTTGTACAAATAAGGGAAAATTAATTATGTTGCTAAGTGCTGTACAGGACCAGTCAGAAATATCTGAAGTTCTATCTGAAATGGTTTCTGTAAAAGGACGTGGCAGTTTATCTCTTAATTTCTGTAAATTTGTTGCCTTTACTTTCTGTTGTCAAAAACAGGAAATGTAGCTTTGTGCTAAGTGCATGATTATCTAGGAATTGACAGTAATACAGCAGTCAAAAAGTGAGTGGTGATTACAGTTGGACGATTAACTTGATTAATTGATATAATGAATTTGCTATGAACATAAATTACATTGATTAATTTAAATAAAAATTAAATCAGTTAATGTTATGAAAATAATCAACTAATGTTTCCACTTATTATTGTTTTAAACTTTTTCCAACTGTCCAGTAATCAAAATTATAATTAAGTCAATGGCACAAAAATAATCAACTAGATCAGAAATAAGTTTTTCAATCGTTACTGTTTTTGCTTATCCAAATTATCAAAATATTGCCATTATGTTTGTTTTTCATGAGTATCGAACTAGATTTTGAGCATTATGTTTTTTGTTTTGTTTTTTAGCCATCTCATTGGAGAGTAATAAATTTGTTAAATTTTCTCATGAGAATAATCGATTACTATATTTAATCAATTAATGAATTTGATTTGTTAATTAGCAAATTTCATTAATTGTAGAGCTCTAGTGCTGTTCCTAGGTTATAACAGTGTCAAAGGTGAAGTGGATACTGCTGATAAAATGTTGTGTACTCAACTAAAAGTAAGATAAACAAATGGCAGGTGCTGTTTTGTACAACATGTTAGATGAATGTTGCCTGAGTATTTGTGTTTTATAGATTTGTCTTGACCCCAATAGGAATACAGGAAGGTCACATATGTGGTAGTTTTTTTTTTATTGCAGGTGGAGAAATAGAACTAACTGATTAAAATTAAAAAGATGGTGACCAAAAGCAACGAAACCCAACACTAATGGCAAATCCAAAGATTGTCATTCATTACAAGGAAATATCATTGTATCAGGCAGGAGTGTTGAGAGCCAGCATGGGCCCCAGGGCAAACATCCTTGCCGAGTCCGCTTTCTTCCTCTTTTTTAAAATTTTTAAGAAGATCCTAATGTAGGATAGTAACGAGCTCATAAATAAGGCAAAATCATAGCAGCAGCCATTTTTAGCTCACTGTATAAGCATAAAAATGTGCCTTATGGTATAACCAGATTTCATTCGCCCAGGCCCCTGGACAGTTGACCCCTTTGCACCCCTGTCAATGGGCTATACTCTTAAGGAATGGAAAAAAATATCAGGACAGATGTAAAAAATGAAAACTTGTGTGTGTGTAAAGAGCATTACAAAATATCGTGACAGTTCTGATGGTTGAAAATAATTTTTTTAGTTTATTAATGTGCATTTTGTTATAAATGTTCATATTGCTTTCATTTTTTGTTTTTAGATAAAATCTTAAAGCTTTATAATGTTGAATATTTTTAAGTAATAAACTAAGCATCAGTAGTGTAATTTATCGAGTATTAGTGCATGGAGTTCATGTGGACCCCACCCATTATAAATGGAATAACAAATTGGTAAGTTGAAGGTTAAAATGAGGTTATTTATCTTTAATATTCATATTAATATTTATATGCTTCTGTTAACTATTCCTTGAGTAGGTAGGATTTGACATGAATAATTTAGGGTTCAGATACTCATTCTTTAAAAACTATTATTACATTTGAAAAAAAAAACATCTTTTTTGGAAACCTCATACCTTATTACTGAATTTACAGCCTCCAAGTTTTTACTTGAATATTTTAGGAAAAATAATTTTTATTGACTCCAGTGTTCCAACTTGTGCTTTTTTTTTTATTAAGCCAAGCAAATGCCCACTAAAGTATAAAAATCCTATCTTTAGCAAAGTATCATTTTATTTTATTCATTATATCCAGATAGATAAGCATGATATCTGCTTAAATGTTATTTATTATTCTTTCCAGATTATTATTCAAGTGATATATTTGTCATGACAGTGTTTCTATGTCTACCTAGTATAGTTTATGAAGAATACTATATTACAAAACACTATATAATGTTTTCTGAACTTTCTGCAGTAAATTTTTCTGTTTTGTTGTGTTTGATCTGATTTGAGTTGAAGTACTGATTCCATGCTAGAAATATACAAGAGAAATATTGGACATAAAAAACAAATATTTTCTCATGGTATTTGGTTTTTTAAAATGCAAACATCTCTTTACATTCTGGACTTCTAATATTGCAATAATCACAATAAACAGAACATATTTGTTACAGGAGATTACTGGAAAGTGGTATGCAGTTCAGATTACTGGGAGAGAGGTGGAAATATCAGATTAAAACATGAAGATACTGATAGGTAAGTTTCTATACTGAGTTTAAAATTTCTTGTGGATTCGTTGGTTATATGTCCCATACCTTATAGTAAATTATCTTAGTGTATGTACACATATTGTTGAAAGCAGTAAACCCAAATAGATTTATAATTATTTTGAATATGAACTTATTTTAAGTATTTTTAATATAAATTTTCTTTTAAGCTGGCTGTCTGTGTCTGGCCATAGTTATGGACGTCCAATCCATGGACAGCTGGAAGTGTGCACTGTACAGCATTTGGACAGCTCTTCTTACTGGCGAACAGTGGAAGGTGTTTACATCAAACCTGAAGATTCATCACCTAAACTTATCCATCAGCATAAAGAACTATAGACTTAGTGTTACTTTTTACCATAACTTGGTCACCTAATTTTATTAATATTTGTTTTAGTGCACATGCTGCATCATGTGATTATTGACTAAAATCTGATGCAATACTGATATTGAATTGGTTTTTGGTTTACTTTCAGAGACATATTTTGACAGTATACATATATTCAAATTCCTTTCATGATGATATGTGACATTATATTGAAATCAGAATAATAAAAGTGTGAGAATCAACAAGTTCTTTAAAAATCTTCAGTGACATCTATCATCAAGCTAAATGGTTTGATCAAAGCTAATATAGCTTGAAACTTCAATTCCCAACTGAACATTCCATGTGTTTTATTACCTTATTTAAACTAGTACTTTGTTGTTTTTATACTTTGTCACCATGAGTTTAAGTTCACTTTTATAAAATAAAGTAACAAAATATATATATATATATATATATATATATACTGGTCCTTTCATTTTTTAAAATGCCTAAATACTGGAACATTAGAAAGTTAGTGTTGAATATTATTTTGTTTACATTTAACCTAATTACTACAGCTTATCTACATTGTGGATAGTAAAATTCATTATTTCTAAATTCTTCAGCATATATTTACTCATACATGAATAGTACGAAAATATACCTATAAGCTTAATATAATAACATAAGATTATATAATAGAAATGGTAGGTTAATATTACATTGATTTGCAAGTGAAAACATCATTCTGTCAATTGCATTTAATGGTAACCTCATTTTGTAATATAGTTTATGTTAAGTGTGTTGCTAGATATCTTGCTGACTAACATGCATCATTGTTTACACACATTCTGTTGCATCTGGTTAAACACATTAACAACAAATGTAAGAAACACTTTTTCTGAGAATATAAAATAGTTTTGTTGAAAATATAGTATACAAATCAATGCAATAACTTTTATTCTTTTTCTTACTTGTTAACCCTCTCAATAACAGTAAGGCCATTTATTTGAAATGTTGAATCCCAAAACCTTGTTTTCTGAAAAGTGGGCTTAACTTGCAAGAGTGGTGAATAAGTTTATTACTTTAATGCTCATATTTGTTTGATATTTAGTATTCTTAATTTTCCTGGCATCTTCATGAATGTAAACTTGTATAGATTAGTTGCTTATTTCTAGCAGTGCTTGTTGAGGAATCAAGCTTTATAATTCAGTGCTTTTCAATTTAAACAGAAAGGAAATGCAGAGGTGAGAACCACAATTTTGTTAGTACTGAAAATTTCTAAATATTCACAAACAAGTCTTTTCCTCTGACATTGCCAATACATACATAATCATCACTGATTGTAGGTATGTAGAATAAATTACTGCATATGTGCATGAGATTATTAAAAAGGTAACTTAAAGTAGGAAACAAAAAAAAGCAACAGACAAACCTAGTCTGAAAAAAAAATGCCACGCTTTCTGTACTGGTTCTGTTCTGGCTAAACCTACATGTATGAATTTACCTGCCCAATATAAATCCAGTTGTCATGAATTTGATATTTGTATTTAAGGCTAACCTCTAAATTTATTGTAAGAAATTTATCAAAATGGGCAGTAAAACCAGGTTTGTGATAAGATGTGATCACCAGTTGCTTCCTGATATTATTAACAAATGTATCAAGGAAAAGTAGTTTGGTCACTTTGTTACATTCAACTGTATTTAATATGGATGTCTGTGTTTACTATATAAACATTTGAGAAATATGTTAGTATATTTCTCTTCAAGAGGTTTAAATAATGAATTGTTACCTTCATGTCTGGAATAATAAACCAGTTTATGACTACTGAGCATACTTCTTTAACAAGCTCTCAATATGAAAGATAAACAATTCCACAAGTTAATAAATGAAAGATTATAGTAAACCAAGATCCATGTGATTAGTTAAAATTTAAAGCTAGTTTCTTGATTACTGTTGAATTTCCAGCATTAATGGATGTAACAAGAAATGGTAAAAGTTTCATTAACAATGGTAAAAGTTAATGCTTGCTTCACAGTTCAAGAATGATTTTCAAAATCCTCAAATCCATATAATAAAAGAACCCTTCAATAGAATGTGGGCTATGAGTTAAATGAAAAAAAATGCAATGATAAATATCAACCCATTGTTTTTTCATTTGGTAGAGCAAACTCTGCACTATTAAGTAAAATTTTAAAGTATGGTAAATACCAATGCATTGTGAAATTTCCTGTTATCATACATTTTGCATTTGATAAATCACATTCTACACACTTCAGTAAAATATAAAATTTGTTACTTTATGCTTCTTGTATTTTTTTAAAACCTGAAGGCCTAAGTATTTCCTAATAATACTTGGGCAGTTAACATTTGCTGAATGGCCAGTTTCATTAATGGTTAGTTTACTTCCCTACTGTGATACCAATGCATCTCAATATCCAAGCCAAGTATTTATATTTGCCTGAAAAAACTTATGCTCTTATATATTGCATATCATGTACATAACAAAGTATACATCAACTTATTAATATATATAATGTAGGACATACATGTACTAACATACACCTGTTTCAACATCATATATTAAAGAAATACATACTTGTAGTACGTGATGTCAGTATTTACCAGCAAACCTGATAATTATAGCAACCAATGCTTCAGGACCATTTAAAGAGCTAGTTCACATTATTTTACAAACAATAATCATGAATGGAAATACTTAGTAGTGTCCACTTCTGCCATAATCATACATTGAAATCCCATATTGTGTTGTTCACTACAAAATACATACATGTATACGTTGTTTAGTATAGAAGAAGTAACAGGGATGAAAGCAAACTTTGAACACCCTTATCTTCTGGAGCAAGGTCTTCTTCAGGACCAAAATGCATATATACGAAATTACACCTAGGGTCAAATTCCATGTCTACAGGTTTATATGTGCTCATGTTTAATGTGCCTGTAGAATATGATCCTCTCTACTTGCGGATAGTTTAGGCAATGCAGGCATCCTTAGAGTGAGTGCCCAGGTCCAGTAGGAAAGCAAGACTGTAAAAGCAGATACCTACACTAGTGACCAATGTAGATTGAACACCACTAGAGTGCAATCTTGGCTTTCATTAGGAAATCATCTGTAAATTCTTGGGAGAAACATGGTTTTTGTGCTGTCTCTATCTTCCTTATCAGCACTGATGCTAAGAAAGAGTTTAACATTGATTCTTGAAAGTCTGTCCTGTTTTTCAAACAAGAAAGAAAATGTTACCACAATCTGCATTGCTGTGTTGTATTACTAGGGTAGACTTCATTACTTCAGAAAGTTTATCATATTTAAAGTTGCCCAGCTTATCTTTCATTTTTCTAGTACTATACCAACATTCTCTGCTGGCTCACTGAGATCAAAAGACCAACATGGTAGGTGAGAAATTCCTGCTGAAGACAATTCATTGTACTGGTCCAAGGTGCATCATTTGCAATGAATGGCTTGAATTTTCCAACAAAGTACTCTACCGATTCCAAAGAATAAATTTTTCTGATAGATATGTCTACTACTTCTGCATGTTTCAAAGTTGTGTCCTGAAGTGGGAACTTGGCCTTCATCTATTCCAATGAAGTTTAATAGTAATTTCTTGCATCTTCATAGAAAGAGAGCAGTCTTCCTTTGTGAAGCTTTGCAAGGAAAGGCTCAACTTCGTAACCAGTTACCAAATTCTCATTTTTTGACTGAAGTTTTCTGTCTTTGAAATTTAAACCCAAAATGTTTTAACAAACGAAATTGCATGTGGTGTAATAAGTCTACTTAACAAATCCTTGAATAAAGCAAACAGAATTCTCTGCAAGCAATGGATGAGTGGGTCCTCAGATTGTAGTTTCAAATTATACTTGTCAAAAATTTGAATACAATTGTTTCAAAATAATGCATATACAACACATTTCCTTGATGTAAGCAACTCCCCCAAATAGCTGTTTCCTGGTGTTTTGGTGTAAAGTGTGTTCTGTTCTTTTTCACTTGCCTTTGCAATTTTGTCTGCTACTTTCTTAGAGTAACCATCCGTAGAAGAGCCAGATCCATGCCCAGGAAACACATTGGAAGTTTTTTCTTTGAATTTTTATTAACAGTCACTCTTTTTCTCCACTAATATCTCTGGTCTGCATGGAACAGACTTTGTCTTCACATGGATTTTTTGTTTTTCTTCTTTCTTTTTTTCTTTTCATTATGTTTGGCTGCAAAGTATTTCTTCAAAGGTCTCTATTGCTCAATTAACATCTGTTAGCATTTTCCAAGAATTGCTCAATTAACATCTGTTAGCATTTTCCAAGAATTGTTCAATTAACATCTGTTAGCATTTTCCAAGAATTGCTCAATTAACATCTGTTAGCATTTTCCAAGAAACAGCCCAGCTTCAGAGTAGTTTGAGTCTCCACATCACATAGATTCTGGAATTCTCTAAGTTTTTGTGTCCTATTTGCACTCTTGTCCAAATAGCAATAAATGTTAGAATTTCATCAAACTGATGTTGCACCTTCTTTGCTGCTTTTACTGGTGCCAAAAGAAGGAAGTGGCATGGGCCATCCCCTAATCACCATTTCAGGGTTAAGTTTCGAAAGATAACCAGCAATTCATTTTTTCTCCCTATCATCACATTTGTGTTGTCAACACCTAATGACACACAATTTTCCTACTTAAGGACTTTGAGACTAATTCTTATGGAAGGAATCCTGCAGTGTTCTCACTAGCTGATTTTAAGATTAAATTAGGATTATAAAATATTGCTTTTACTACTTTCTCCTCGTCATCGAAGTATATCACTACAATAGGGTACAGTTGATATAAGTTGACAAGTGTCCCCCAGTGGCACAGCGGTATGTCTGTGGACTTACAACACTAGAAACCGGGTTTCGATACCCGTGTTGGGTAGAGCACAGATAGCCCATTGTGTAGCTTTGTGCTTAACTTCAAACAAACAAACAATACTTGACAAGTTGAAAGCCCTAGTTTTAATATTATTCACAGTTTGTTCAGTTGCACTGCTGGCCATTTCTTCAACTATTGCAGAGGTTTTAATTCTAGAGAATCCACATCTTTTAGCGATTCCCGATTACGGAAGCATTTTGGTAAGTCTTTTCGAAGCATGGTCTGAAACCATCAAAAGCAGATTGTGTTTCACAATGAAGGAGGAGAATAAACATTCCTCTCTGATCTCATCATCTTATGATTTGGTTTCAGGTTTTACAGTAAATAAATCTAGTTTATTAATTCCAGACATT